CCACATAAAAGATAACTTAAGTATATATATATATATACTAGCAGTGCAGCAAGCTACAAAGACATGGTACACCATGGACAACAACACAACACAACACACTCTCTTTAAAAGGTTTTTCCTCTCTACTGAACCATGTAGAAAACATAGTGTTTAACGGCTGTAACATTCATCGTTATTGATGTTGCTTCAGGCCACCATGGAAGAAAAAGAAAAACTTTTAAAGGAAAATCAATGAACTTCTGACAAGACCGTCTCAGGTATCCAGTGTTGACCTGATTATTGGGAGAATCTAAGAACGTTCGATACCGGTATGCAATTGGTACGTTTGAAAACCCCCAACATGGGCAGATTAGTTTGTGGATTTTTGTGTCAATTTTACAGATGTTTCCGATTAGCCCTAAAACGTCTCATCTATATTGCCCATTTATCATGCCTGGCCTTCACCTACTGATATTTGAGCTTCGTATATTAACCCCAATTTTTAAACTTACAGTGAAACGTTAGACCCCAGTCACACACGTCGTGCGATCGTCGTACGATTACAACTGAGGGCATTCTTGGGATGGCCGTGCACGTGTCCTGCAAAAGTGTCACGGCAAAGGCGGCCTTTAAAGGAGTTAAAATTTCCCTATATCGTGACAGGTAGAACGCCCTGTAGCCCGTTTGTCCTGTGTCCTGTCTTATACATGTACATTTGTAAAGAGGACAACGATGGGAACGGTGGGAGTTTTTCTTTCATGATCTTCCTTTTAGTAGATGTGTCCGAGAAACTACAGAAAGTGCTATTAGATTAAGCCTAAAGTCTGATAATGAAACGGCCCACAAAAAGGAAGTTTCGGAACAAAGTCTTCTCTACTTTTAACCCACACATCCATATTTCAAGACAACAATTACAAAGTTTCCAATTGTGCTGCCTAGTAATGAAGGGTAAAATGTACTTTGCTTCAAATCATCAAAGGCTGGAATAGTTTGTCCAAATTTGAATCGACAGTTTTACACTTGGAAGATAAAGAAGAAGCCAATTTTGCCCACCTACGGAGAAAGATGTCATAACTTAGAGCACATTTTATTTCTTTTTAATGACTTTCATGGCTATTTGAATAGCAACTCTTTATTCTTTTTCTTCCGGGCTGAAGTTAAATGATTGGAACTCAGAGACAAAACCAACTGCAAACTTCACATAGAACAAGAATGTCAGAAAGTGTCTTGGATTGTCGTGCGTATGTTGGAACTGTTGATCTTCGTACCAGGATGTGATAAAAGTTGCATTGCATATTTATGGCAAGGAGCAAACTTTGGCACAACTTATTTCTATCGCTAAGGACGTAACTTCGAGTACCACCGATGCAAACTGGTATATCAACGTTGATCTTCAGTTGGTTTCCACGCATGTCGCCATCGTTTCTATTCAGGTTCAAGTGTGGAAGTCATATTCCTCATGTTAGGATTGTTAGCTAAGTTAATCCGGTATAAAATTACATACAATAACCTAAGCTTATGATATCAACATATAAGATTAAACTCCAAAAAGCATTTATGCAATTTAATCTATAAAAAGAGACAGTCGTTTCTGTCATTGCGTTTAGTTTTAGAAACATTAATCGTTCATGACGAACATATATGATACAGTTGAAATGCCCCTCCCACGGCTTCTCTCGTGTCCTCAATTAGCTCGAGCAGGAAAGGGTCAATTTAGATTCGGCTGTCAGCGGTCAAGGTTGGCTAGACCCCCCCCCCCCGGGTAATAAGGCGGCGTGATCACAAAGAAAGAGAAGACAGATGTTCTAATAAGAAGCTGTAAGCCACACGGTAGAACCAATACTAGAAATGGCCATTAACAAAACCAATCAATCAATCCATCTAATTGCCCAGCACGCCTTTAGGGTGAACTTAATCGTTTAAAAGTACTCTTCGTAAGACGATTTCCCACCAAAAGAACCACCCGGAGAAAAGTTCTCTAGATTACGAATTGCCTCCAGAACATCTCCCGGTACTTTCATCTCCGTGCCAATTTGAATCCAGTTCTCTTGCTGCGATATCTCAATTATTTCTCCTCCCACGGCGCTCAGACGGCAACAGAACGAAACTTGATTGGGAAAAGTTACGGATCCGCTTCGCATTCGATGTTGTCAGCAGACTGTAGAAATGCCTCTTTAATTCAGAGCCCACATCAGTCTTGAGAAAGGCAACAGCAAACGTTACCTTCAAACATGCACATGTACTGGGACTAACTTTTTCATGACATCCTAACGGGCTGTAAGAGTTTATAGAAAGTGTCTATCTCGGCAACTTATTGCAAAAATCCATCGTTGTAAATTTCTTGATGATTCTTCCCATGCATTGGTTCCCACAACGCAGCAGGACATTGAAGACAGGATATGAGATAACCTTTTCTGGGACTTTTCTTGACCTAACTCCCGTCAGTGTCCCCGATGTCATGTCTAGCATTAGGAAATAACTACGCAAACACAAGCAAACACACAGACAGACACACCAAAATCATAGCCTATTTTCATACCTTATTATTTTTGGTCCTGAAACACGCTGCGTTTAAGTCTTGCAATTCACGTAAACTGCCTCCTTCACGTGGTGACGTATTTGGAAACGACGTTTCTTGGTCATCAGGTTTCCAAACGCCTGTGGCGATATTCCTGATAGATCTCTCTCTTTTCTAATTGGCAATTTTTCATTATGAACGTCTGCATGTCACCAAGCCTAGGGAACAATATTATGTTTTTCGGTGTCTGACAAGGCTAAAATTTTCTATCTGACATGAATTCCAATGAAGGTCTGTGAAATCTCAGAATCTTGCCGGAAGCTAGTGGTGATGACATGGGGGATTCAGGAAACAGGATTTCTCTCCGTCAATAAAGTCTGAAATTGACTTTATTGACGGAGTAATGTCGACCATAGCTTACTACTGTGCTCTAATATTCTGTAATTCTATCGCATGTACTTGCATAAGGCTATTACCATACCAACGTCTGTGTCAGCAGCCACTTTCCTCAGTCCCTTGGTGGTTGCTGAGGCAAGGTTTGACTGCACTAAACGAAGCACTGCTAGTAAGTCCACAGAACTTTTATAAGGGTCTATGAGAGCCTGGCTATATCCGCTGCGTTTACAAACGACTCAGGTCATATCATAAGGTCTGGACAACTTTATTGGACCTACGAGCAGCAAATGAGTGGTAAAAAACCGAGGCACACATGAATCATACACGGCTCCAAATTTACGAGGTGCCCACACTTGATCATCCGGATGAAGACGGACATCAATCCTAAACTCTCGCCGTAAAAGGACTTATCAGTGCGGAAAGGGTCTACTGGGCATCGACACCCCCTCTCAACACCTGCCGCCTAGCCTATTTATGACGTAACATCCGGTCCCATGATGCAATGAATTACTCTCCCTGCGATTACTGAGGGAACAAGAATCCTCCACAGGCGATCTGTTTTGGGACGTGATAATGCCTAAACGATGTCAGAAAGCGCCGATGCGTATCAGAAATAAAACGGAACAGGTCACGGGGGTGGACTACAATTCTCTGTAGGCGCCGAGAAAGAGTGGAGACAAGGGTTGGAGTTGGTAGCTGCATAAAGGTAATGGTGGGTGAATAAAAGATTGTTTATCTTGTGTGTCCACAGGGAGGTAATCTTTGCTCAACATTGTTTCGGTAACGAACACTACACAGCGGCAAAGAGTGTAAATATTACGGATCTCATATATGTAGCATGTAGGTTGAGATCTGTGTCATCTGACTAACAACGTGTTTTATTTTCCGACACCTACTAGGAGGCGATGGGTTCATGTTTCTTCTCTCAATCACATTGAAATTAAGGGTTGATGAAGATATTTTGTCGAATCAGTTTGGTTTGTTTAAATCACAATGTCGCAGTTTATATCCTAAAGCTTGCATGTTATAGACCCGGACACCTAGATGGGCTTGTCATAACTTTTTCATTGTCAATAAAACTTATCATATTTTCTCTGTGGCATTGCGTAGCGTAATGGTTGGCTCAGAGCCCATGCTGAGTTCAAATCCCCCGGCATGACCCGATATTTATGCCCCTGGGAAAGGCACTTAACACGACTTTAAACAGATGAGCATAAGTACCTAGCTTCGGTTAGAGACGACTCGCGGATAGGAAGTTACATGTAAATGTGCGTGTTTGGAGACAGTCACACCACACGCACGTTAAAGAACCCAACACACCTTTCGAAAAAAAGAGCGGGGGATGCCTCGGTGTGCGATGGCCCAAATTGCACTTCACTTAAAATCCACAGTGTAGCAAATTTATCGGCAGGTCGATGTTTGCTACCTAAACCAAAGGAGACATTCCACAAATGTTACTCATCACTCTTGTAATAAAACGTCTACATCTGTTGGGCCCATTATCTATCCATGGCGCTAAGGTACAGTTGTCTTAACATCCACCATATAACTCACGTTTGGCAGTCTCAAATCTAGGAAGGCCTGTAAAATCTCCAGTGTCATGACAGCTTTTAACAGCTCTTACAGTTGGAGAGAAAGTACAAGCATTCACATGGGCTTTCGAGTGACGGACGCCCCTATTTTCCACATTGACATACACATTAATCACTTTTCAATTTGTACGTGTGTTAGGCTGCCAGCGAGTGCGTATGTGGAAAAAAGATTTTTTTCACATACGATTATGTGAAAATCTGGTCAGTCTCGTTTTATGCAACTTGATTTACTGAGGGCCTGAAGGATTTGGTTCCTTTGAATGTGTTTGGTAAATGTTTCTGAGCTACACGGAACGTTCATTTATACACAGTAATGCGTCTCAACGCTGTGAAGGTCCATTTCATCACACCATTCCATTATGGTCATGGCATGTAGAGCTCGTTTCTCGAAGTTGGTGACTGTACTGATACCGCGCGAAAATGCAACGTATACATGCCCCATCTATGGCTTTCTATCATCAAACTATCATTTGGGAACTGTAGAAACTCAACGATCAAAACTTTTAACAAAGTCATTAATTTTTGTCATTTTTTTTACATCATATTGAATTTACCTTTTTACATTGCACATCGATATTCACAGCGAATGAATGCGATTCCGTACGGTAGTATTTTTGTCTGCTATACGGACGTCTTCAAACAATTTGAAAAGGTAAAAACAGATCTTCTGTTCTCTCTGAATGCTATGTGATCAACTCGTAATAAAGCACTTTGAAAGAAAGTCAACATGCCAACCCGAATACGGAAGGTGCATACTTCTATCGTTGCAATGGAAATGTCATAACTTACTAACACATAATATAATATCTTTACTATAACTTTAGGGTAAAACGAACTCACATCGATTGTGAATCAAAAACAGAAATTGCACATTAACTATTCTCAGAAAGCCATCATTCCAAAATAGTGATATTGATTATGAGATTTTCTTCGGAAATCCTCAAAGTATAGCAGCTAAGAATTTTGGATCGATAAACCAATAGTTGAAAATGCATTCTTACAAATGCCATTGCAATTTGAGCACTGGTATCATTTACAAACCATTATAAAAATAAATGTCCATAATTCTTGTCCTTATCCACTATTTAGAATAACATTGTACAAAATCCAGCTTAAAGAAGCAACAATAGAACGCTGTTTACTTCCGGTATGGAAGTATTGTTTTGGGAAGCATGAGTTTATGGGTTTGTTTGTCTGTCTGTCCTAATTGTTTGTTTTTCATGGTGGGTAATTTTGAGTGAAGTGTGACCATGTACGGCTTCAGGAAGTGGTGTAATACAGGATTAAATTACATTATACTATTCCCTCCACAGTTCAAAACGTCATGAAAGCCCAAAAAACACTTCCCCAGAGGTCTTTGAACCTGAAGGTTGCAAAAACCCAAAATACATCCAGGAAAACGGAAAACTCTAATTTTTTGTTAAATAATTGTTCTGCCATATTGATCTTGCTGCTCCTCCTGATTGACATGTAGGGATGTCTGTGTACTTTTGTTTCCCTCTTCTGACTTCTCCTTGGCCCACTCCTGGACTGTTCCACTCCCCATCAGGAGAAATGTAAGAGTCCCGAAGCCATATATTCCCCCAGCGATGTAAAAGACCTTTTGCCACTGAAGTTTGCGAGACGGCCACGTTTTCTGCAACAGATATTACAATATATCTCTGAGTAAATAATAAATACACACTTGTGGCCATGGGTTTATATACCAATGTGGTTCCAAAAACAGCAACTTTTGATTCAATATCAGAACTTCTACAGATATTTTAGATTAGAATTTATATTCTGATCATGTTCAAATCCTCTTCTGTACAATTTATTCATACAAGTTGAGAATAATACTTGAGCTTTTTGCCTTGACAGAAAATGGATGAAAGGTAGTGACTTCCTCTTGATTGTATCACTGGTGTTACTTAATACAAAATAAATCAAGCCAATGGATATAAATCCTCAAATAAAAAGAGTTTCAGATACCATCCACTCGCTATCTTTCATCAGAGACTGAGACTGAAGACAAGTAGAAGCTGTATATAAATGAGTAGCTGAACTGATGTGTGACTGAGTTACTGAAGCAAGTCAAGCAGCTCCTTTTAGATAGGTTGGACCACAGGGGCTATTGTAACAGTGGTGCGAGTTCTTTTACATATCAATTCAGATGTTCAATTTTGTATACATTCTTGTCTTCAGCTCATTACAAGTCATGGATGAAAGGCAGCAGGTGCTATGTGAAATGTCTCTTTTTAGAGAATTTTTCCAGTGTAGCTTTATTTATTTTGCACTTTCCCTGTGTCATCTTAACGAATTGTTTCAACTTTTAACTTCAAACACTGTGAAAAGATCCTTTCTCCTCATACCATAAAATAAAACCACCACGAAAGTCCATGTAAAGACATTTACAGTATCAGTGATATTCATCACCATCTGATCCGGAGTTTAAAGCTTAAAGTTCCTTACAGCATGTTTGGTGAGGATGCCCACCACTGCAGGCCCAGCAAACCCAGGGAATGTGGCGATACAGTTGGTGATGCCCATCAGTACACCTGCATGTCTGTGTGTGGGAGAAGGTCATGTTCAGGGCAGGCATTTGTAACCACATCTCTCACTCCAACTGTTAAAATTGTTAAGGGCCTTTGCCCTTATCATTGTGCATGTGCAGTCCAAATTATGAGCCAGCTTATTCCCAGGTTGTCTATTCAATCTTGGCTATTTTATTCTGATTTGTAACCTAGTCCGTCTGTTGCATACAAAATGTATGTAACGATTCTACACTAATGTGCATTACTATGGATAACTTCTGTGTATTTTCCAGCCCCTTGGAGAGCACAGTTCCGGTATGTGTTGCTTGAACAAAAAGTATCTACTGTATTTCAAACTTTCTTCATATCAATCAATATATGATTTATTATTCATGAATCCCGTAAAGTATGATTGTTAGTTTCCCCCAGCAGTCCCAGGAAGTGAGACAATATTTCCAGCCCACACTCCCATCATCATGACTAATACTGAACCTCAGGAAGGGCACCCCAGACCCTGAGTGGGTGTCCAAAATGACATCAACTGTATCATCAAGTTGATGTTGTACATTTGTCACAATTTGGATGCCCCTTGAAGAGTGACCCTATTATTTGACACATCCCATCCTATAAGGTTCTAGGAGAAGATAGCCCTTACCTATACAAAGGGCAAATACATCAAGGAATGTTCCTAAGACCTGAGAACCAGTAGTGTAAATGATACATTACACATTGCTTCTATATACTTGTACAGAAGTTCATTTCTGACACATGTATTGACCTGTTTGTTGTTAGTAGGTATGGTTGTAGAGGACCTCACAAATGTTGTTGTACTTCTGCTGTGTCAATATAGATTTCTTTTGTGATCTACGACAGGTTCTTTTAACAGTGACCAGATTCTGGTTCCCATTTATTGATTCTTAGGATTGACAGCTAGAAAAGCCTCAGTGACACATAGAAAATATCAAATACCCTCAATAATGTATAGTTTTACATATATTGAGTTTTTTTAAGCAAACCTGGGCCTTGTTAATAGTGAAAAGTCTTTCTGGACATTATCAATGCCAAAGTCAGCACTTTATCAGTCTAATCTAATTAAACAGTGTATTTTGCAGTTGTCAGTGTGACAAAAGTGGGTGAGATGACGTCAGCTACTACCAGGTAACACGGTACAGTGCTGTAAATGCAGATTTTGTGGCATTTACAGCACTGCATTTTCTGCATTTTCCACAGTGACCTATTCTTGCAAAATCTTGAAACTGCAAATATGTGTTTTATGGTCAAATGTGTGTCTCCTGTCCGAAAGAATTGTTTCAACTGCAAAGTTCTAACACTGTGAAAACTGCTTTACCCTCTGATTGTGAAATAAAACCAGTACGGATTTGAAGTAAATGTGTGTACAGAATGATGTCAATTATCTTCAAGCACTTTAGAAGATTGCCCGAATTAAGGGGTTCAACACACACATCAAAGAACATCCATTGAAAAAATGATAATCTCTCATCTTCTGATTGGGAAAGAGCAGAGGATAATGAAACATAGTGTGCTGCTTACTGTAAATCTTAAAATATTTGCCAAGGCTTTATTTTCAAATTTTAAGCCATGAATGTGTTTTATATTTCTACTGTAGTAACATTTAAGACAGAATTACTTCAAGTGTGAAATTATAACACTTCTACAGAAACCTTCTACTCCACGCCACCACAAAATAAAAGCACTGCAAATTAAAGTACATGCCTTTAGAGTATTATGTAGGCTCCTGTGGGGTTGGTGACACATATGGCCATACTGCAGTAATGAGCTGGGATTTACATGGGATTATCTACTGCCATTAAAGTGTTAAACCTCATTATTGTCCAATGGTCATGTAGTATTAGGTAACATCTGGACTACTTCTTGTTTGCAGGTCAGTGATGACATAAAATCTAGAATCATGTGTGTTTATTTTGCATAACCAGTAATAACCTCTAATTTTGTACAGTAAGTACAAAGTACAAAGACAGGGAATACTGGTATTTCCATTTTTCTGACCTGATCAAACAACAACAAAGGGCATGAAACTTCAGTTGTTATACATGTATAATAGGAAATGCAAATGCAATATAGGAGGGACAATGCCAAAAAAGTTTCATGTAATACTTTCAAATAAAACTGAAGTTGTAAATCTTGTTCCATCCATTACCCTTGATAGTTGCATGCTGATTCATTAGATACTGTTTTATCTTTGTAAGGACAATGTTGATTCGTTAAATTCCAACTGTTTGATCTATGAAAGGACCATGCTGATTTGTTAGATTCCAACTGTTTGATTCATGAAAGGATCATGATTCGTTGGAAGATGAAGCTAAAAGAAACTAAGGTGAAAGACCAGCTTGAGGGGATTTACACGATGGCGTCATCAGTGTGGGCAATCTGTAATGGCTGATTAATAAGCACCATGATTAAAGGACCCTTGCACTTCTGAATTCTTATACTTCTATCAGTCAAAAGTTGAGTCAGCTCTCGATTAATGTAAAAACACATTAAAGTGCTTCTGAGTTAATGGACGTGCACTGATGCATGCAGAGTGTTTTCTTGTGATTACATGAGGCTTTCAAAACATATAAACAGCTGTCCCACCATTTCTTTGGTGTTTGTTAGCTGATAAGTCATTGTCCTTAGTGCTGAACAGCTGTCCCACCATGTCCTTGGTGTTTGTTAGCTGTGTAGTCCTTGTCCTTGGTGCTGAACAGCTGTCCCACCATGCCCTTGATGTTTGTCAGCTGTTTAGTCCTCGTCCTTGGTGCTGAAAAGCTGTGCCATCATGTCCTTGGTGTTTGTCAGCTGTGTAGTCCTTGTCCTTGGTGCTGAAAAGCTGTCCTACCATGTCCTTTATGTTTGTTAGCTGTTAAGTCCTTGTCCTTGGTGCTGAAAAGCTGTCCTACCATGTCCTTTATGTTTGTTAGCTGTTTAGTCCTTGTCCTTGGTGCTGAAAAGCTGTGCCACTATGTACTTTATGTTTGTTAGCTGTTAAGTCCTTGTCCTTGGTGCTGAAAAGCTGTTCCCTATGTCCTTTATGTTTGTTAGCTGTTAAGTCCTTGTCCTTGGTGCTGAAAAGCTGCCCCACTATGTCCTTGATACATGCTACCTGTTTAGTCCTTGTCCTTGGTGCTGTACAGAATTGTTTGAACTACAAACTTTTAAAACACCACAAACCCTCCCTTTTCCTTCTACTACAAATTTCATTAGTCCCAGTTAAAATAGAATGAATTTACGGTACCTAGGAGCGATGTCCAGATGGTTGATCTGGAAGCCCGACATGCCCAGCCCACTGGAGGCGATCCCTATGGTTAAGAACAGGACTCCCAGGTACTGTTGGTGACAGCTCACATAGCCTGCCAGCACCAGGAAAACACCTTGAAGCAGCATACCTGTCACATAACAGAGATCAACGTTCTTCTTGACTAACATTCTCTCTCACTTCGTGCAACACTGTAGTGTACAAAATATGTAACCTGTGCATGTCAGACAAATTTTAATGCCTAGTTATCATCTTGATAAAGAATTGGGAAAAATAAAACCATAATACTCATATTACATAGGAGAATATTGCCTGTCTCAACTATATTTTTACTTGGTAAAAATGTAACTCTTGCCTTCTTTTTTTAGTAGTGAAGTCGGTTGCATGGACATGACATGAGATACAGCAGTGCACATAGCAGTTAGCTCTAGTACTGCAGCTTATTTCTTGCTTGGTATAACATTAATCCTCAGTCTTTTTGTATAATAAGGGGTGTAATTTGTCAATCACAGTGTAATGAGGCACATTATAGACTTTGTAAAGACAATTAAACTTCATAAACATTAGCTTTCAAAAGTGAAAAAAATGAAATATTCAATGTTAAAAATTCAGACAGTTGTATCATAGAAGGAAATATTATCTTATATGTCTGACAAGATGGCCTTCATATTCAGCTCACCTAAACTGTTGAATAGCTTTCTGACAGCAGCTGTACTGAGCAGCTGCTGTTCCCTGAGCTTGTCAGCCAGCTGTCCCCCCAAGACCTGCACCAGCCACATGCACAGGTAAGGTAGGGCTGACAGGAAACCATCCTAGTCATTAGGACAAAATAAGAAATGGGAGATTTTATACTTCCAGGAATACCCCCATACCAACCACTAATTACTGCTGGCTCCCAGCCAAATGCTGATACCTTCACATTCACCCTGTTTCCTGTGTCTGGTCTTTTGACCTCATGTCATTCTGCCTGTCAATCTTCACCCACCCCACATGCTGTTGACCTACTCTGTAAGGACAAAAATTATAAACCCACAGCTTATCCACCCAAAACAGTATATTTCCCTATTTGGAAGTAATGTGGTTAGTGGCAATGCTCGTCAAGTCACTTTGTTCTGTGAATTTTTAACAAATAAGAATTTTACCACATGTACAAGACTTTCATATAGACTGAGATTTATTTGAAATATAATTTAGTTAGAGACAATGAGGTTGTTACAGAACACCTGTGTGAGACCTAAAAGTGAGAACAAAACACCTGTGTGAGATCAAACAGCAGGATCTCCTTCATGTAAGTTGGGAGGTTGGTGGAAAGGGTGTAGGTGCCCCAGTTGAAGCAGATGTGTGTGATGATGAGGCCCCACACTGGCACAGAAGTGGCAAAGGACAGCCAAGGGGTAGAGGTAGTCTGCAACAATGAGAAGTGTTTATTCATTCAGTTATTGAGATTTATACCACATTTCTAGAAATATTGATATAACAGGTAACTGTTTCCTTTCAAAGGTGTAGACCTGGAGACCAGCTAAGTGAAAGGAGTTCTAACCTTTGATAGTGATGTCCCTTCCCTAAGCAGTGAGTGCTCAATGTATTCCCTCTCTATGTCAGAGATTCTGGGAGAATTAGACACTGTGAACATCCATGCAACAAACCACAGACAGCCAAGGGTACCTGGGTCATGCAAAATAGAACAACTTTATCAACACAAAATAACATACTTCATGTACACTTATATCCATCTGTCCACATAAAACACAGTACCCTAAAGCTGCCATTCTCTCTTGTCAAGAACACCAGTACCAGTTCTCTATTTGTCAACAATATTGCCAGCATTTGATTTGAAACTTTTGGTGCAAAATGATGTAAACTCACCGAACAAGGTTACTCATTTATATCTCACCTTTTGCCTTCTGACAAAACTCTTGTGAGTATCATTCCAATGTGTATTGTAAAAGCATTTTCGGTCAGCAAAATGCCAACTTTGTTTTTACCTGGTGAGAATCATTTATAGAATAGGATATACTGTGTAGGAGGTTTGCTGGAGTAGCTTAGTGGTCCTTACCAAATGCATAGAAGACCACAGGCCAGCCAAAGTGGTCACACAGAACACCTGATACAGGGAGGGCTAGCATTATGCCAAGGTTCCCACCTGTTGAGACATATATTGTTCAGAGAACAGTCTGTAGAAGTCATCAAATCAACCATATAGATGCTAGAATTCAGTGACACAACATGAAGACTGCAACAGAATGTCATTGATGCATATGAAAATAAAACTACTGTAACAGCACTATATTCTGATATTTGAAATTATCAGGAAAAAGTACAAACTAGTTACAACAATTTATTCTAGCTTTAAAAAGCTTACTGCTCATTAAGTGAGAGTACCTGACAATGAAATTGTTGCCAGTTTGCTTCTCTCTATTGGAGGTGCCCAGCTTCTCCACATGGCATGCATGGCTGGGAACAGAACACCCTACAGGGATGGGGGAATGGTGGATTGTGTTATACAGTCTGTTACTTTGTTACAGTTACTTTGTTGTTATGTGTACGTTCTAAAACAAAAAGTGGGTAAATTTAACTTCGTAGCCATTGCAACCAACTCCTTTTTGATGGCATCTAACAGACATTTTGTCAGACAATGGATCTGACCTCTGCCAGCCCTTCACACACTCGGACAGCGATGAGTAGCCATGTGGCTGTCCGAGCTGCCAGGGGTGTCAGTAGGGTGAAGACAGCTGTGAACAGGATTCCCAGCCCAAACACCAGCTTCCCTCCAAACCGACCTGTGAGACAACAAACAGGCTTAATCTGATGATACTATTACACTCAATCTTCATGCAGATCTCTATTGGTAGCCAAGACCATTTCCAATTATAAGGCAAGACAGTATCCAATGGGTCTTTAATACCTATTGGATACTGTCTTGGGTACTGAAAGATCTGCTTGGAGACACTTGGAAACACTAGTCATCAGTTCCATAAGACAATGACAATGACTATGGTGCAGGTGGATACATTGTAGAATTGAGCATTGACCTATTATTTCTCATCAGGGATATCATCACTGATATCAGTGTATTCTTTAAATGGTAAAGAAAAAGAAGAAGAGAAGTATGGTTGTATACCTTGTAGTTAAAAACAGATGATGAATTGTTTCCACCTCTTGAAGCATACATTTATACATAAGTCACTCCTACAATTCTCTTACCTCTCACTACTACAAAGGAATAGAATAGGATATTAGATTTCTATAGGATGTGTGAGTAAGTTTGATATTTTACAGTGTTCCTATTTGCCCTTACCTGCGAGCCAGCCTGCGGGAACCTGTGTGAAGATGTATCCGTAGTAGAACGCCCCCAAGATGGTGTTCTGGGTGGTGGGATCCCAGCCAAACTCTGCTGGCTAGTCATGCATCAAAGGTAAAGACTGATTATTCATAGATTCAGTTGCCTGGTAAAATGGACATTTCTCAGATCTTGTGTTTGGTAATGGCACAGTCACATTTGAGTTCAAGTTCATAGTCTGCAAATTCCCTAGTCGGGACAGTCATCATTTCTTGTTCTATATCCTTGTCATTGGTGGCTCATTCTGTCACAGCTGAATTTTTCAGGATCTAGGACACATGCATGACTAACGAATGCATACAGTTTGCAATTGTATGACAACTGTATGACGTTCTGACCAGGCCGTAAATGTGAAGGCATAGAAAAACTCACAAACTGTATAAATCAAGACACAGGAAACTGTTACATATAAGCTGGAAACTTCAGTTAGAAACTGTATAAAAGTGTTATTAGCTTGTGATAAAAACTTTTCCACCTTGTCATCACGGGTGACGTTCACATTTGGTATGCAGTCTTCTGACCCATTGAGAGCTGGTTGCTGGGTGTGGTTAACCATAGCAACCAAGGCGATGGTGAGGTTGACCCTCATGGTGTAGGCGTTCAGGAAGCCCAGAGTGGACATGATGGCCAGACCGTACCGACAGGACGTCCAGACAGGCACTAGGACAGAGCAAGGAGGTTTACGGCTTGATTTTAAACCTCCGTGGACAGAGTGAACACAATACCACAAGAATAGCCTACTAAAATCCGACAACATAATAAAATACAAAGGCTCTAAATATGTTCATGTAGGTATGAGATCTCCGAATTCTTGTTTGTTGTTTGTTGGCAGTTTGATTTAAAGGCCAAATTACAAAACCAATAAAGAAAAGAAAATAGAATCATAACTACCTGATGTTTTTGTCCCCACCACCCACACCCCACCCATAGTATTATTGGCTATCAAGTATCATGCAGTTTCTCATGATTTCACTGCGTCTGAAACTGAAATGTGCTAACGTTTATCGACACACTGCAAGCGATCTAAACCTTATCCCGCTATTGTGAAGTTTTCTGAGGCAAACCTTTCTCTGAATACTGTCTTGTTTTCCCCTTGTCTAGCAGAGGTTCACATTCGTCTGCCATGTCTGCCATGATGTTTAACAGCTGATTGTGGTCACGTGGGCAAACAAGTGAACATGCCTCGGGCAAAGTCCACCACCTGTTGATCTTCTCCAAGCAGATGTTTGGTTTAGACCCATTCGGATAGAACGTTACTGTAGATTCTTTTATTTGCGCGGAACATTCTCGTGGAAGGAGGGGGAAATGCTGTTTTCTTAAAAGTTCGCTTTACTAGTATCGCAGTGTCATGAGTATACGGCGAAGAGGTGACGAAAATAAAACCACCACGAACCATTTTAAGATTAACAGCAACTGATAAACGAGATCGCATTAAAAAAAAAAGATAAAGATCATCAGCGTTGACTGAAGACATTATATGAAAGCCAACAATCTTGTATTTCTGTATTCAAGAAGTGGAGAAAATGACACTAATTCAGGTAGCCTTGTATCACTAAATCTACAGAGGCTGCCTCACGAGTATCACGTTTACAACTACACTCATGGCTGCCTCACCTTTGCAAGTATATTCAAGGCAACGACATTTTCTCACTTTCCGTATTTTCGTGTCACGCTGACTATCGACGAAGGGGAACGAAATTTCTTTTTTTTTTTCATTGAAAATCGGTGCGTGTGCGGATGTCATCCATAGAATTTTCGTAGCAGGGTTCGGGAGGCGACTGGAAAGAGTAGAAAATGGCCAAATAGAGAGATAATATGCCAGGGGAGTTGGTCCGCTAGAGAGTACAGTTTGCCGCACCGGCTAGATATTTTCTTGCCATAATGTCTGCACAATACTTGTGCAATACTGTGCGCTATATCATTAGTAAGCGTTGCGGACACATTCGTCATAGGTCTTGGTACGATTTTGTACCATGGAAACGCAGTTTGCGATCGTACGGCAGCCGCACGACAATCGTACGGCGTATGTGACCAGCTCCTTAGTACTAATTCACGGATCCGCCCATAGCAAACTTATTGAATGTCGTCAGGAAAACACCCTTATCACATAACTGCTACCAATACAAAAAATACAACATGCAATATAGAACCAGCTACTACATCACGTATCACAGAAAAATTAGTATAACAGTCTCTTAATTACCCAAAGTAATCATCAAGTATCGAATTGTGCAAATCCCCGACACTGCACAAATTCGCCACGTAACTTATTGAGCCCACTCAGTAAAAGTGCTTGTCATAAAAATTCCTATAGGGGTGGCTGTAGTGGTTACCACACGCAGGGAACAACAACGTACCGTGAATTATTACATTATTTGCGTGTCTAGCACGCTAATGAACAGATGAACATCTTAATTAGTACTTGGATTGAAGATAACGCTGACGGTTGGGTGTATTGAACAGTTTAAGATTCTCCTAAGACATGCACGACTGGCATAGTTATCTTTTCACTCTCAGTGTATTTTTAGTAGCTGTGAGGAACATGCGTCAGCATATATGTGTACTATATACATGTCTAGTTTGACATACAACCCGATGTTTTGTAGTTTATGATGTTGACATAGAATGGCTGTACCGTGCCAAAACTCCTCCTAGTATAATATTCATTTAGCATTTAAAAAATTGGCAATATTCTTATATTAGCAATAGAGATGCGATCTTACGATTAAACTCTTATATTGGTTCAGTCAATTATAAATTATGAATGGGATCCTTTAATTTTATTTGTTTACAAAATACGTCTTTTTGACCATTGTTTATTTCTTGACACAGAAAACCCTTTCGCAACAAATAAATGACTGCCTTGAGTTAATTATCCGTCTTAAGTGATATTTTGATATACGATACGGGAAGCCTATGAAGCCTTTGAGTGGAGCCTGATTGAATCCCATGACGTCTTGTGGCAAGACATGTTCAACAAAGCATTGTTTTGAGAAGTGCAGCGGAAACGTCAGGTAAACATCACCGCCTATTTACCCGCTACTTCAGAAGCTACTTCCCCTTGCATGCCGCCATGCCGTCATAAAGACCCCAGGAATGTCGGTGACGCCCTGGATACTCTGTGGACATAATCAAAGGCGTGCCGCAGGCGTATTTAGTGACGACGCGACGTCTTACTTGGGGTAAAAACTGACGAACTTTCACAAAGAGAAGACCTTTCCAACCAAACTGTTAGTGTTGTAACTCTGTGCTCTCTAAGATGGCAGCGGTCGGTCTGGTTCAGTTGTTGATGGTGGCTTTTCTGTGGGGACAAGCCAGTGGACAAACAACAGCAATAATGTCAACACCGAATGGCAGTACAGGTGCGTAACGGTAGGCCTAGGTAAAAATGTCGTTCTTCCGTTTTCCTGACTGACCCTAGCCTATTTTTGGAGGTCGATCGCGCTAGCAAGGGCCACACAATGCCCTTACATCTGAATTTCAAACCCTTTGAAACGTTATTCACGCGTTTTTAAAAGCAGGTTTTTCGGGTAAAATATTTGTCACTTTCCCATGAGCAAATGGAGCGACGGGTCCTAGAGACATCCTTGATGCATTTCAATATTGTGTACTTTTTGTATCACTTTTGCCAACATCTAAAAGAAAAAAAAAGAGAGAAGCTCTACCTACCGGCGGTATTTTTTCAGGGCTAGAATAGGAAACACAGCATTTATTTCCTATCCAAGAAATTACTTCCTCTTAACTCCACAGGTAGAGGAATTACATCATCTATGAAATGTGAAACCATGGATCAGCACTGTAACTTTCGTGAGATAATTTGAGTTTAACGTATCGTTTACGTTACTGGTTCTAAGGTGTAAATAGTCTTTGTGTATTTGCCTATTTGTGTACAGTAAGGTGTGTATACATCTCAGCGTCTAGTGTTTCCGGTGATGAGATTATTTGTGTCTTGGAAAAGCTGTGATGAGTTGATGGTCAGTGATCTTGTCGTCCTTCGGTATTACAAAAATAAAACCCACGAGAAAGACGCTCTCTCATTTCTAGTCTGACGGAAACCTGTCTTTCGAGATTTCCTGTCTATTATAATCGGCCGCCTTTAGCTTTGCTCAGTCCCGTTAGCTTTGACCTCAGGCACGTTTGACTGCAGTCAGAATTGAAAAGCACAGACATAGCGCAACAACACAAACAACGTACTAGGGCTGAGTCACGTAGTACATGGAAAAAATATATAGGGGTGATTCATGGGTCAGATCTGTCAACACAAGAACACTTTTGTGGGGGGTACGATATATGACACCTGGTGACGCAACGGGATGTTCGCTACCATGTTAATCCTGACATTTGAACAACCTGGTAAACACGAATTCTAACTATTGCAGGTGGAGTGGTGACTACAGCTGCGGGTGGAATGACGACAGCAGGTGGAATAACGACAGCAGGTGGAATGACGACACAAACTGTGGGTGGAATGACAACTTCAGATGAAATGACGACCACTGCAGGTGGAATGACGACAGATGCAGGTGGAACTTCAACATCTGCAGGTGGAGTGACGACAGCTACAGGAGGAATGACGACAGCTGGCAGTGGAATGACAACCACTGCAGGTGGAATGACGACAGCTGCAGGTGGAACTTCAACAGCTGCAGGTGGAGTGACGACAGTTGCAGGTGGAGTGACGACAGCTGCAGGTGGAGTGACGACAGTTGCAGGTGGAGTGACGACAGCTGCAGGTGGAATGACGACAGCTGCGGGTGGAATGACGAGCACTGCAGATGGAGCGACGACAGCTGCAGGTGGAGTGACGACAGCTGCAGGTGGAGTGACGACAGCTGCAGGTGGAGTGACGACAGTTGCAGGTGGAATGTCGACAGCTGCGGGTGGAGTGACGACAGCTGCAGGTGGAGATGGAATGTCGACAGCTGCGGGTGGAATGACGACAGCTGCAGGTGGAATGACGACCGCTGCAGGTGAAATGACGACAGCTGCAGGTGGAATAGCTACTACAAACAAAGGGGGTGTAGGCAGCCCTTCCCAGGCAGACGAACAAACGATCATCATCATCGCAGTGGTCGTGGCGGCCGCCGTGCTTGTACTGATACTCGTGACGACCGGTATAATTGTGTACGTTCGACGGCATAACAAGTAAGTAAAACATGTATATCTTTCTTCACTAGAACGGATTTGAATTTGTGAAATTGGCTTGAATGAACACCCTCACTTTGCTACAAATGTATTTTCGAAGGGCTTTGTTGGATGTCATATTTATTCTTATCTTAAGTGAGGGCTTTTTTTTAAAGAAAACGGATTCCTTCTTCTTCCAAATGCATGAAAGCCCGATCGCCTCGACGCATCCAAGATATACGATTGGCACAAATTACATTTGCTGTCGTCATTCCACAAATAACATTTAGAGTCATCTTGGATTTAAATCTAACATTGTTTAATTAGTTATGCGTCGTTATCAATAGATACTCCAGTTCCTGTTTATGTAATGTAGCCCATAAACACATACTTAAAATTACTGCAAATTCACCCTTTTTTTCAGGAGTGCCACCTTGTCGTCTTCAAACGTCGAGTTGGCGCCACGGTGAACACTGCAGAATTAATTCACACCTTAAACCATGCGTTAAAGTCACATGTCTTCTCATGTGTGAACATGTACGCATGCTTTAAGGTACATAGATAGGATTTCGCACAGTGTAGTGACAGTGAAAACTACCGGCTTTACAAATGTGACTCCAAAGTTGAAAATGTTAATCTGTTCAAACAACTGAGGCGTAATTTCCCTCGGCAAGTATTGTTTACCTTAGCTTGGAAATATGATCATTCTAAACAAGAAGTACATAATCGTTTGATATTAAGTAATGTATTAGAGTGTTAGCCCTATTAAAGGAATCAAAACAGGACTATTTATACACAAAAAGGGAGTAGATGCAACCAAAAACCAAAATTTGTCTTCATTCGTTACACTTTTTGAGAAAGTAGAATACCACAGGCTCAACATATATAGGTCTTAATCAAGTTTTATATTCTTATACCTTTATAAGTTCTATATTTGATACGTTTTGTTGGAGGAGCGAAGGGCTATGTGATTGGTCTATTGACCCACAAATAGATTATTGTTTCCCCTTATATAAAGCTACAGATAGACAAAGGATAAACTAAGAAATTTAAAGATGAACCTAGCTAACTATAGAAAGATGATCCATATTGTCCCTTTTTGATAAGGTGGATCTATATTTTATACACTGAAATCTGACATGATTTGATATATACTATCATATTGATTTGTTCACGTTTTGTTATGATAATAAAATAGAAGTTCAACCTGTGCTTTTTGTTCATCTCTGCCTGATGGTTTTCCAATACTTACATAAATAGAATAGATGATCTGTCCATATCAATAATCGTATTGACGATATCAATAATCTTATTGATATTCGAATATAGTGTTGACATTAATTTTACATCACATCTTTTCATCTATCTGCATAATATGACCATGCCTGTCCTTTGATGCAATGTCAACCCTTGTCTTTACTTGAATTTTTTATTTATTTATTCAAATGTAGAGACAATTACGTATACAGACAATGTGATGATGCATCACGAGCATCCATGAAACTCTCACGACAAGATGTGATGAAGTACCCGAATTTACAAATGCCAAATACTCATTAATAGCACACAACACACGTAAACTTAAAGGAAAATTAGGAGATAAAGCGTTTTGTAGTAGTGGTAGAATTTTGGCGTAATCGACAGGCCCAACACTATATTCAACTGCACCAATCCGACTACGATAGCATGCTCACTCAACCTATCGTTAATAATAGAACTCGAGTCTCTGATTAAAATCCCACTGATTGATATGTTATACAGTAAGCTGTAAGTGTGCGCTCATCTGGACCAGGGCTTCTTTCTGCCAATCACCTGAGGATAGTCAATACATACACACGTACAACTGAGCAATGTAAAACAACCTTAGATACAACATGGTAACTACTCTTTAGATTCACAGCATTGTCAAATTGACAAATAAGACGTTCTCATGTGAAACGTTACTGACATGGTACAGACGCCATGTTTGTGTCCTGTTCAGTGTGTCATGTCGGTCAGCCAGGGCAGGTAATTCACGAAGCTGACGGGGACAGCCGTTGTCTGGAGCCGCTCTCAATCTGTCTCTGTTCTTCATGTGACTCCATCTCATGCTGAGAACCAACTCGAGCGCTGCAGGAGGATATCGATGTCAACATTAGGCTATGTTGATTTGATTATATGGATGACATCCTCCGGGAGCCCCAAAACTGATGCGCGCGTGCGAATAAAAAAAAAGTTTTGCAAAAAAAAAAGTTATTTTCATTATGAAATCTACGTGGTCATGAGGGTTGAGCAAATGGCACAGAATATGGTTTGGCGAATAATCTAGTCTTCAAGTTCATTTCTTTACAATTTCGTCTTTTTTCGTTTGATTTTGGCATTCTACGACATTGGTATAGTTTGTATTAATTTTTTTTTGTAACTTATGGTATATTTTTGCTCATTTTGCAACTGTTTTGTACGATTTACAGTATGGTTGAAAACTTTTTTTTTCGGAAACGGCCGAAAATTCATGCGCGCGCGGATGTCATCCATATAATCAAATCAACATGGCCTTATTTCAAATAATGCCCGAAAACATTACTGTGGTAATTATCAACGTCTCGTTCTAGCTTTGACATGTCCATTTTCTGTGACGCAGAACATGATATCTACATTAATAGTATGTACAATGTTAACGCTCTTTTTGCGGAAAAGAAAATATAAATTTTGCAATACAGGACACACCTTTTACGTTTCCCACATGCTTTGTAGATGCCATATCCAACTCCTCCAATGATGAGTATACCGCCCAGACTTGCCCCCACTGCAATAAGGGCGATTTCCCATGTCTGCAGGCCTTGTACGGAAGGACTGCTGTAGCCCGTGGTACTCTCGGTACCCGGCGGAGCTGTGACTGTGACGGTCGCGGCATCTGGGGTACTGCTTCCGGCTGTTACTCTCCGTGGTGTAGTTTCTTCCTGTTGTATGGTGGTTGATTCTTCTGGTGTAGTTGAAACCCCTTGTGTAGTTTCCTCCTGCAGCTGTGGTGTGGTTTCTCCCTGGAGTGTTGTGTCTTCCCGTGGTGTAGTTGAACCCCATGGTGTAGTTGCATCCAGTGTCGTAGTTGGCAACTTCGGCAAGGAAACGGTGGTCGGTATCGGTGTCGTCGACGGAGATGGGAGCTTAGTAAAGAACTGTGCATCTGACAACGCACACATCAATACGAAAACTGTAAATGCGATCATCATTTTTGAAAACCGTACACTATGTACTAGGGTCCCTCCTAAACAGTGTCCTTCGATATGTCTGTCTATCTAGAACGGTTACACATGTTATATGTCACATGTTTTGAGCATACGGTCCTTTTGTACTGTTTACCTGTAGCCGCTAATCTGCTTACCGTAAACAGTAGTATCATAGGTGTCACAGCGGTATCTTCGGTGTCATAGCGGTATCACAAGTGTCATAGCGGTATCATAGGTGGTAGCTATGGCTGAGGGTGACATGTATTTGCATGTCCAGTGGAAATATCACAGTTGTCCATCAGTTAAGCCATGTAAGCTACATTTTGGACCCACCGCATCGGCCCATTAATCTAATGGCACCTTTCAGGTGTGATGTAACCTTCAGGTCATATGTTCTGGGTCGTTCTGTTGCTATGACGCAACTGAACGAATTTCTTGGATATATCGCTGTTGGTTCACATAACCGGCAAACCTCGTTCATGGGTACAAAGAAACCATTTTTGACAGTAACTGAGGAAGAACAAGTTGTCATAAACTAATTAATTGTAAGATGTGATGGCCACTCACACTGGAATGGACCCCTATTTTTCCAAAAGTGCGGTTGGTTATTAACATGATTAATGTGTATGTGGCTCCCCCCGAATACTGGACCTCCAGGTTTACGCCCCATCCGAGAGGACGTCCCTAGACGATCCAAGCTATGTACAACTTTACACCTGAGTCAAGTGAGCTGATGAGAAAATGGGTGTAAAATACCTTACTTAAGGTCACAGCAATGGGGCCGACTAGAGATTTAAACCTTTAGATTGTAAGTCAACAAACCTAACCACAAGACCACTAAATAACACAGTGTGACGCAAAAATACTGACAGTAAATTTAAACTTGTATCGTTGAAGTTAGCGATGTACATACATGATACACCCAATGCTGTAATTGTATGACTCAAATCTGCGGAAGGCCCAGTGGAATGCTTCCCAAGGCCAGACAAACTTGCTTTCCTCATCAGTGTTCAAACACGCGCGATAGGCTGAGGGCGAACTTTAGCCTGCCAACAAATGAACTGATAAGAAGTCTATTGATTTGTCGACTGTAGGTACATGCAGTTTTTAAAATCATCGCCAGAGGTCTCGTATTTACGCATGTTTCATTATTGCGTCCAGGTAAACAACGTGTTCCAATCCTTCATAGCTATAGTTAAAGGTAAGTATGCTATGTTTATATTGTAAATCTAACTCTATATATGAGTGCAAGTAGTTTCAAGCCGCCAGATGTCGCTTCACTGCATGTGTCTCAAGGCTGGACTGCAAAGGGTCTGCTTCTGAAGCAAAACAAATCGTCATTTAAATTAACTCTCTGTCGTTTAGGGCCCCAAACAAAGATGTAAGAATGTTATTCTGTATTAAAATCTGACTTCAAATCGCGGTGGGGAAAATGCCGGTGATTTTTTTTTTATATTAATAATCTGTTCCTGTCCAAATGCGCCATAGCAACGGTATAATGGTGTAAAAATGATGTGGGGGTTGTAGTGCATGTGATAGGCACATTGGATTGATGTGTCGGAAGGTCTTAATGCAGTTTTCACCGAGTCACTGGGCAGCGACGGCAATGTTTCCGTTAGCAACGTAAATAGATTCCGCCCTCAGCCATAGTTACAAGCGAAGATATCGCTGTTTTTGACAAACATAGTGGTTGCTACAGGTAAACAGTATAAAAGGGCTGTATGGATCAAAGCAAATGAAATACATCTTCTGTCGTGTTACGAAAGACACGTCCCTTTTAACACTCAAAGATCAAGGCGTTTAAAGAATGTTCACGTTTGCAGTTTTTCTTCTCATGTGTGCGGTGTCTATATCGAATTCACAGAGCACATCCTCTTCTTCAGCGACGAGTGAAGCAACCACTGTCCTCACTACTTTACTAGGTGAGGTAAATTCACCCTACATGACCGGTATTTTGAGTTGTTGGCACTGGCCACTTGTTTTTTCTTCTTCATACGCAGAACCGTTTCTCACAAAAGCGTCTGTTTTGACTTGCAGAAACATCGGCGGTAACGACGGCCTCGCTCACGACCACAATTTCTTTACCAAACTTGCTGACGTCTTCTCTAGCGGACCAACTGACAAGCACACCACAGGAATCAACTACACCATGGGGATCAACTGCAACACTGGATGAAACCACAGCGCTGGATACAACTTCAACGCTGGAGTCAACTACAACACTGGTTACATCTTCAACACTGGACCCAACTACAGACTCAACTACAACACCGGTTACAACTTCAACACTGGACCCAACTTCAACACTGGACCCAACTTCAACACTGGACCCAACTACAAAACTGGTTACAACTTCAGCACTGGACTCAACTTCGACATTGGATTCTTTTACAACGCTGGGTGAAACAACAACACTGGATGCAACTACACCATGGGGTTCAACTACACCACGGGAAGACACAACACCCCAGGGAGAAACTACACCACAGCTGCAGGAGGAAACTACACAAGGGGTTTCAACTACACCAGAAGAATCAACCACCATACTACAGGAAGAAACTACACCACGGAGAGTAACAGCCGGAAGCAGTACCCCAGATGCCGCGACCATCACAGTCACAGCTCCGCCGGGTACCGAGAGTACCACGGGCTACAGCAGTTCTTCCGTACAAGGGCTGCAGACATGGGAAATCGCCCTTATTGTAGTGGGGGCAAGTCTGAGCGGCATACTCATCATAGCAGGCTCGGTATTCGGTATCTACAAAGCACTTGGAAAACGTAAAAGGTATGCCCTATGCATCTTATATGTATCAGCGTCAACATTGTTTATACCGTGGATGTTGTCAATTTTGATATTTCACTTGGTAAACAGTAGAAACGAGTCTCAGAATTGGTTACGAAAAATGATTCGTACATTCCCAGGAATTCTGTCCAATAATGTTGAACTTGTCCTGCAGCGCTCGAGTCAGTTTCGAACATGAGATGGAGTCGCAGGAAGGAAAACAGCAAACGCAGCAGCCGTCTGCGTCAGCTGCAGATCAGTGAACTACCCGCCGATTCACCCTGAACGAACGAGACAACACACAGAACAAATAGGGAGATCAGACTTGGACAATCTTTTACTATGTAACGCACCTTAGTACTTAGCACCTTAGTACGATGTTGGAAAACTTTAGGTTTTTAGTTTGTTATACGGCACGATCACATGCGTCGCCTGCCGTCGTACGATTTTGATGTCGCAGGATAATGCCAATCAGGCTGACAGCTAGAATCAAAGGCGGACAAGGGTTTAAGACAGTCATTTTCGTAACAACACAGTTTAATTTGGTTCGACACATGCACGACTGTTCCAAGAATACCTTCAGTTTGCGACCATACGGCGATCATACGGCGACTGTGACCTGGCCTATGTCTAAAGCTAACGTTGTTTTCGGACATTGGGTTGTGCTCAGATAATATGACGTGTTAACTGCACGGTGATTGATGACTCATTAGGACACATGGACTAATCAGTGCATAAACATGGGCGCTTATTAAAAAACACATCAATCACATTAGTCTTTTAATAAGAGACTTAATTACGGTCATTAATGATACATTGAGTGTGCATTAATTGAATTGCTGCCATTATGTAGGATTAGAAGAGTAAAACTATCCGTAGATTAAGCCATTTATAAAAAGTTTGGAACTCGTAATGATAAGGATTGACATGGTACTGAATTATACGCAACTTTAGTTTCATGTAGATAGATATAGATGAATAAATGAATTGATAAATAGGTATGACTTCAGGTATCAATTAAGGTATTACTTATGATGATTGACGCAATTAAGCAATAAGCGCAATCGTTCAAGCTGAATTTATATACCAATACCATGCTGACATAAAAAACATTTCTCTTATCTACGTCAGAATGGATAATTAATTACTAATCAAAGACGTAGCGGAAAAGCACCTAGGAGACACGGCAAGCGTCCGCGTTATCTGTGTGTCCAATTTGAACTGGGGAAGATAAGGTCGGTTGGGTTATTAATGTACTTGTGTACGATTCGACTGTTGTCTAAATTTGTGGAACGCCCTGCGAATCGCATTTTAGGGCTAAGCAAACTTGCTTTGCACATCATTATAGACACACAGGCGATAGGTGGAGGGAAAAATTTAACCAGCGAACAAACTGATAAAAAGTCAATTAAACACTTCGAAGGGCTGATAACTGGAGGTAGGTGTAGTTTCTGACATACTCGCCAGAGGGCTAATGTTTGCTTACACCTTTGTACTTGTACGCAACTTGCAGTATGTCATTGTCAGGTGATTCAGCGTTGCATCTTTTCGCAGAGACGTCTGATTAGCAACTATATGTAGCTGTTCCATCAGTCGCGCTATTAAAGATGAATGTAGAAATCATCACTATAAGTGACAGGAAATACAATGCCAAACTACTGCGGCTTCTGCAACACCAATCACTACAACGTGAAATTCTAGTACCCTTTCCTAGATATCGTTTCACTATGCATGTCTTTAGACATAGACATTGCTGCTTTCCGCTTGACCCATGTTAACGACACGGTGTAGGTACGGTCAGCGTGAGCACAAACAGATAATTTGGAGGCTTTTTTTCTGAAGCAGAGCAAACGCTCTGTACTCAAAGTATCATATTTGCTGTCACCTAGAATTGATAGAGTCCTGCAGGAAGACACCCTGGCACCGTACCTGTTTGTGCTAGTGCTGGACTACGCACTCAGGGTGGCCATAGAACTGAGAGAAGAGGAGCTGGGCTTCCAACTGGAGGAGGAGTAGGAGGATTGGGCCAAAGGTTGTGACTGACCTAGACTTTGCGGACGACATCGCCCTCCTTTCGGAAGAAGTCCAGCAAGCCCGACAGCTACTCCGAAACGTGGAGACCTCAGTTGCAAGGGTTGGCTTACAGATGAACGCGGGAAAAACCAAGTTCATGGCCTTCAACCAGCAGTCACCAGTTTGCTTAAAGACCACAGACGGATCCACTCTTGAGAAAGCGGAGGACTTCAAGTATCTTGGGTCCCACATGGAAAGCACCGCCAAGGACATCAACTCCCGAGAGCCTGCAACAAGATAGACAAGATCTGGAAGTCAGACCTGTCAAGCAAACTCAAGACACGCCTCTTCCTCTCAACGGTGGAGTCGGTACTCCTGTACGGCTGTGGACTGTGACTCCCAAACTGGAAAAACAACTGGATGGCTGCTACACAATGATGCTGAGGCGTGTCCATAATTTTAAATGGGAACAACATCTGACAAGTAAAGAGCTCTATGCTGGTCTCCCAAAATTGACGTCGAAAATACGAGCTAGGCGGCTACGGTTTGCTGGTCACACACTGAGGAACTGCAGGGAAATAGCCTCGAACCTTGTCCTGTGGTCCCCAGCACATGGGAGAAGGAGGCCGGGAAGACCCCCTCACTTACTCAGACGTGCTGCGAAGGGACGTTGGCCTTCAGGCTCAAGACATGGGAAAGGCGATGCAGGACGGAAGCTATTGGGCAGCCATTGTGGTTCGGGTGGCAGAAGAGGACTGGCACCCGACTTAAGTCAAGTAAGTCAAGTCAAAAATTGATACACAATGTCTAGCTACAGCACAATTGTACTTTTATAGAAACCAAACGTTTCCAAAATTGATTTATATTCCATCACTATTTCTATTATCATTTCTACACATTAACGTCATGCTAATTGCGAGCGCTGACAAATAGCTTGGTTTTGGTTAACATTTTCTCAAACATGCCGTTGATGTAAGTTATTTCGGGTGCGGCACCAATGTGTACTGTTTTCGTCAAATGTTGCTAAAAACTCATTGCCTCTGTGGTAACCGTTAAATTCAGACTGCCAATGAAGCTGTAAAGGAGTAACGTACTTTTTGGCCGAGTCTTCTACCACCGTCGATGTATTTGTAAATTTCTGTGGATTGTAGAAATACACAAATTACTAATAGATGGATGAGGAAGTAAAAAGCTTACCGCAGCTGTGTTTGTGTATCTAAGCTATTGATCCGTTTAAACGTCGATGCGAAAAGTACGGAAGGAGCGGTATTGACATGGCTTATATATAGCCCCGGTCTCAGGGTTTGTTTTTCAGCTACCATTTTTGCTTGCACAAAGAGCAACAGGCGGTGGTAAAAGAGCAACGTATTTCACAATATAGTGAGCCACACAGCGCGACAAGACTAAGAGTCATTTAATTGCAAGGGAACAGTTGTAGGAAGGATCGTTACAGCGATGAAGACGTGGGCGTACTGGACGCTGCTGCTGCTGCTGTGGAGCTCGGTATGCAGCGGCCAGAGAGCAACAACGGTCCCAACACTTGGCACTACCACCGATAATACTAGTACAACCTGGAGCGCCACAACTATTAATGGTACGTGGGAGTCGACAACGGAAAACGTAACCGTGTCGCACATGTTCACCACCGATACACCATCTTCCGCTACTACTACACCCATGCCGATAACCGCAGCGACTGTTACAACGGTCGGCACCACCTATAACACAACAGAGGGGTTGACGACCGTTTCCAATACAACGTATCTTATGATTACATATACGACGTTAAATACAACTGGAACAATAACCCTTGATACATCTGGAACAGCAATACCGACAGCATCGTCTAATACAACAGGAACAGTGATCCCGACTACAACTGGAGCTACAACCCCGAATATAACGACCTCTTCAACTGTAGTAACAACCCCAAATATAACGTCCCCTAAAACTGTAGCAATAACCCCGACTATAACGACCTCTTCAACTTTAGCAACAACCCCGAATGTAACGTCCAATACAACTGGAGCTACAACCCCGAATATAACGTCCCCTACAACTGTAGCAACAACCCCGACTATAACGACCTCTTCAACTTTAGCAACAACCCCGAATGTAACGTCCAATACAACTGGAGCTACAACCCCGAATATAACGTCCCCTACAACTGTAGCAACAACCCCGACTATAACGACCTCTTCAACTGGAGCTACAACCCCGAATGTAACGTCCAATACAACTGGAGCTACAACTCCGAATATAACGTCCCCTACAACTGTAGCAACAACCTCGAATATAACGACCTCTTCAACTTTAGCAACAACCCCGAATGTAACGTCCGATACAACTGGAGCTACAACCCCGAATATAACGTTCCCTACAACTGTAGCAACAACCCTGACTATAACGACCTCTTCAACTGTAGCAACAACCCCAAATATAACGTCCCCTACAACTGTAGCAACAACCCCTAATGTAACGTCCAATACAACTGGAGCTACAACCTCGAATGTAACGTCCAATACAACTGGAGCTACAACTCCGACTATAACGCCCCCAACAACTGGAGCTACAACCCCGACTATAACGCCCCCAACAACTGGAGATACAGCCTCGACTATAACGCCCCCAACAACTGGAGATACAACTCCGACTATAACGCCCCCAACAACTGGAGATACAACTCCGACTATAACGCCCCCAACAACTGGAGATACAGCCTCGACTATAACGCCCCCAACAACTGGAGATACAACTCCGACTATAACGCCCCCAACAACTGGGGCTACAACTCCGACTATAACGTCCCCTACAACTGGAGCTACAACTTCAACAACTCCCACTACAACAGTAGCCACGTTTACAACGCCTACCGTACCTGGGACAGCAACACTGAGTATAACGTCCACTACGCTTGGAACACCAACCCCAACAACACATACGGCAACAACGGCAAATACTTCCAACCCCTTCATTACACCTGTAAACGGCCCATCCAACACAAGTACTGAGAATGAGACTACCGACGTAAACAGCAACACCCTCTTCACAGCCAGTGCCCTGACCACTTCAATGACAAACATAACCTCAGGTTGGTATACGAATGTTTCAATAGTTTCATGAAAGTGCATTGTAATCTATCTTGACTGTGTTATTTGGTAACTTGACATACGTTGGCGCAGTTTTAGACGTACAACTTACAAGAAAGACAGAAGGACTCTTTTAAGCAGAAATTCACACCTTCTGGTTCATACGACGTTAGTCTATAGCCTGGCGAGAATTTGGCAGCTTTTTGAGCAATTGGAAATGCCTTACATCAAAGAGAACCGAACATTGAAATACACCAAAACTATTTTGTGAGTGAGCCTATCTGTTTTGTGTACGTTCTAGGCCCCAGCGGTCTGACGGGAGGACAGATTGCCGGCATCGCCATCGGAGCTGTCCTGGGGGTCTCTCTCATCGTGGGAGGGATCGGCTTCGTGACTTCCTTCTTCAGCAAGAAAAGGTGGGCATAAGTATTCATTCTTTCGTAACACATGGCAGAATAACTACTCACCAGAAAGCAAACTACCACCTGACTATACAGTCACTACGGAAATTGGTTTTGTACACGACACGACACGACACTACATCAAATACACACTGGAGGTAAATTCAAGACCCACAAAAAGGCATCTTTTGATGTTTGCAATTATTTGCAATAAGAATGTATGTTTAATTTCTTAAATTGCAACATTTGATGATAAAACGTGGATACATGAACCCATGTTCGTTATGTTCGTGCCGTCACCAGACGAAATGTGAAATATACACCAGAACATGTACAATGCAAACATTGTCAAGCAAAATCTAAGCATAAGAAAGTGATGACACAGAATGGTATTGATAAGGTATGACACATAATGTTAATGTTTGAATATTTTGTCTACTATCTTCAGTCGACTTGTGGTGCCTGCCGTGGAAATGGAGGAACAAAGGAACCACCGCGTCCGACGAACCGCGTTTGGCAGCCAAGAAGATATATCTACCGTGCGCAGTGGGACAACCTAGCAGTAAATAACTACCATATGTAGGGTAGGCTTCTAATGTATTCGATCACTTTGTGACAAATATGCATTCAGTGAGTACTGCAGATATCTTTCCAAAGTCAGTTCTGTCAGAACTTCGCGTTAAAAATGTTCCGAAACGTCGAGCAGGTTATGTTTGTAGAATATACAATCTCTGAACACAATCACAGTTTGGGTGCCTATATTTGGACCATGAAAGCTCTGGTATCGACGAGGGTCACTCATAAAGGCATGGTTGCATTCGTCATATTGCATATGTCGTTCTACGATTCTGATGCCGTAGTATTTTCAAGCAATCTGTAATAGAACCAAGAAAGCTTTATGGCAGCGTTTTTCGAACAACATAACTGAGTTTTGTACGACAGTCGTACCCTCAGTTTGTGATCGTACAACGATTGTACGAAGATCGTACGACAAATGCGATCGTGTCCTAACCAGCTGACTCAGAGACTCGTGAACCATGTTGTTCAGCCAGAGCTAGAAATGTCTGAATCACGAATCCCGGACCTAGTATTTGAACAGTGTTGTTGTCACGGATGGTTATCTACAAAGTAAATTTTGCAACGTTAGTCCATCCAAAATGTATAATAACTTAAAGCTATTCCATTGTGCATTAGTTCAGTAGCTTTGCAGCCTCGCTAATGATAGGATTATTGCAAACGCATGGCCAAGAGCAAATGCATTAACATAGATACATGTATTAATTGATTTCAATAGTAGAGAATTGGTTTCGTATGGTCAGGAACAGTTAGAAGAAAATTTATTTTTTCTTCAAAATGTATCAGCAATAGAATGCATTTCGCAGATTAGCACCTTGTTCTGTTTAAACGGATATGATATCTGATGTCAATAAAATTGTGCATGGTCATTACAGCCGCAATATTTGTACGCTTACGCCGTACCAACCGGCGATCTTTATTTTGTAATTATTGATTTTACACACCCTATTGACAAGCACTAAGTCAGACGCAGGTGACCTGTTACCTGTGCTGCCCGGTTGAGTTGACAGGTCAGGTCAGGATCCGCTTCACCTGGTCTGTTCCTGCGGCAATCGATGATGTGATCGATACGCTGATGTCATGTGTGAGTAGCCTGGATGTCAGCATTTCTAGCTTTAGTACGCTCTCTCGGTCACTTCCCAGGCAAAAAGACTGGACCCGCACATATTCTGTCCTTCTGCCATTTGAATATTTGTTCAAAAGTTAAATAGGTCTAGACGCGCTGATTGGTCAAACCGGAGTGACTGGGCCGTGGCGATATGGGTCATCCAGTCAGCACTGCTCTGAGAGCCCAACACCCAGTGCATAATGGTTGAATTAGCTCCACTGTTTTGGGCGCACAGAGAAGCGACCGATCATGAGAGAGCGAACTGGAGCTACATAGATGACATCCTGGCTAACATGTCAGTAATTCTATCATGCAAATATGCTGGCCTCAGTCATCTCCTGAAACGACTTTAATTAATATTGATGAAATAGAATGTCGTGATTCCTGGCCATAAAAACACAACTACATCCTCTATGAATGCCTTATTGAACCATTTTCTAGATTATGGTTTGTACTGTTGTACACATCTAGATGCGTGTTTGCTATAACGAAGCAAATTATATATGATCCATGGCGTGTAACAGTATCGCTAGAAAATAAACAGTATACATGTATACCCATTTTGCATTCTGCCTTCTTTATATTGGACGTACAATTATATAATCTTGGGCTCATATCGCCTCCAGTAGTAGGCATCCAAGCAAATATTCTCTCGTCCCTGCACAGATACTGGACAATAAGTAGTGTACCTGCCCTATTATTACGACATTGCAAGCGCCGACGACTGATATGCACCCGACACATTCTGTCAAATGCTGAACATTATCTGCAAAGTAATAAGTAGTCAAAAGGAGTCACCGTCCGTAAAGGCCCAGTCCAGCTCAACTTAATGTCATTGAACTGCGGCAAGTTAAAATTTGAAGAATACGTCTTATATTTGATTACGTTCGTATTCACAAGAGACATCCTGCCGGAACTGACCGTACGATATAACGTGGATTGAAGTTGCCGTTAGGTGTGTACATGTGAAGTCTATTGATCCCCAACCGCCGTCCTGTGAGACACTTGCCTTCACCATGGAGCCGGGGAAACACATCTGCGCCGCGGTAGTCCTGTTGGGGTACGTTATTTCAATAATATCGACTTCAACAAGCCCGATATATCATGTAAGCTACCAACGTCTTGCCGATGCAACACAAGTGCCACCAACGTCTCAGCAGGAACATACCATTTCGACTGACAAAGAAGCCCCCACAGACAATGTGCAGACCACGGTAGAACAGGATACAGCAACTTCATCCGGTGGGAATGGAGTGACAGCCTTGGGAACAGCAATATCTACAATAACAAGGTTGGTAACAACGTCATTAGTTGACTCTAGTACTGAGTCTGACACTGTTCAGAACACAAACACGACAGCAACAGACGCGTTTACAATTGTGGATGCCCAAAGTACTGCAAACAGTGCCACGGGCGTTGTAACGGCAGCTGTTACAACTGAAAAGTCTTTCGTTACTACCGATACTGTTACAACAACTGATACAGTAACCCCGGTCATTACTACTGATGTTGGCATAAATGACGCAACTGGGTCCACCACCACTGACACCTTCATCACTCCAGTTACAACTGATCCTGTCATTACAACGAAAGCTGGTACAGCATCTGTAAAAACCGAGTCTGGCCTTTCCACACATGCTATCACGCCGTCTATCACAACGGAACCTGTTCAAACAACATATGTTTCTACACCTGCAACAACAGAGAATGTCATTACCGACAATGGCATAACAACACCCGTTACCACAGATTCTGCCCTTACCACTGATGCAATTGCAACATCTAGTAGAACAGAAGATGTCATTACAACTGATGCTGGTACAACGTACGTCAATACACAACCTGCGATAACCACGTATGTTGTAGCAACAGCAGCCACTTCACAGCCAACCGTCATCACTAATGCAGCCACAGCACCTGTTACACCACAACCTGGCCTTATAATAATTACCACTAACGCGGTTACAGCATCAGTTATAACACAGTATGACCTTCCCAGTGGCGCGGTTACAACGCCGGTTACAACACATCCTGGCATTACCACTGGTGCTAACACAATATCGATTACAACAGATCCTATTTCTACCACCAACGCGAATACAACATCACTTACACCACAGCCTACCCCCACCACCATCGCTGATACAACATCTGTCACAACAGATCCTATTTCTACCACGAACGCCGTTACAACATCAGTAACAATAGAACCTATCTCTATCACTAACGTCGATACAACATCTGTTACAGCAGAAACTATTTCTACCACCAACGCTGATACAACACCAGTCACAACAAATCCTATTTCCACCACCAACGCTGTTACATCAGTTACAACAGAACCTATTCCCACTACCAACGCTGAAACAACATCAGTCACAACACAACTCATTCCCACGACGAACGCCGAAACAACATCAGTTAAAACAGATCCTATTCTCACCACCAACGCCAATACAACGGTATTTACAACACAACCTATCCCAACCACCATTGGCTTTACAACATCAGATGTCACATATCCTATTTCTACTACCAACGCTGTCACATCAGTGACACACTGCCTACCCCCACCATCAACTCTGATACAACATCGGTCACAGCAGATTCAATCTCTACCACCAACACTGGTACAACATCAGTCACAACAGATCCCATTTCTACAACCAACGCTGTTACATCAGTCACAACACAGCCTACCCCCGCCACCAACGCTGTAACAACATCTGTCACAACAGATCCTATTTCCATTACCAACACTGATACAACTTCAGTCACAACAGATCCTATTTCCACCACCAACACTGATACAACATCAGTCACAACAGATCCTATTCCCACCACCAACGATGATACAACATCAGTCACAACAGATCCTATTTCCACCACCAACGCTGATACAACATCAGTCACAACAGATCCTATTCCACCACTAACGCTGATACAACATCTGTCACAACAGATCCTATTTCCACCACCAACGCTGGTACAACATCAGTCACAACAGATCCTATTCCTACCACCAACGCTGTTACAACTTCAGTCACAACAGAACCTATTCCTACCACCAACGCTGATACAACATATGTCACAACAGAACCTATTTCCACCACCAACACTGTTACATCAGTCACAACACAGCCTACCCCCACCACCAACGCTGTTACAACATCTGTCACAACAGATCCTATTCCTACCACTAATGCTGGTACAACATCAGTCACAACAGATCCTATTCCCACCACCAACGCTGGTACAACATCAGTCACAACAGATCCTATTCCTACCACTAACGCTGGTACAACATCTGTCACAACACAGCCTATTCCTACCACTAACGCTGGTACAACATCTGTCACAACAGATCCTATTCCCACCACCAACGCTGGTACAACATCAGTCACAACAGATCCTATTCCTACCACTAACGCTGGTACAACATCAGTCACAACAGATCCTATTCCTACCACCATCGCTGATACAACATCAGTCACAACAGAACCTATTTCCACCACCAACGCTGGTACAACATCAGTCACAACAGAACCTATTTCCACCACCAACGCTGGTACAACATCAGTCACAACAGATCCTATATCTACCACCAACGCTGGTACAACATCAGTCACAACAGATCCTATTCCCACCACCAACGCTGGTACAACATCAGTCACAACAGATCCTATTCCTACCACCAACGCTGTTACAACTTCAGTCACAACAGAACCTATTCCCACCACCAACGCTGATACAACATCTGTCACAACAGATCCTATTTCTACCACAAACGCCGTTACAACATCAGTCACAATAGAACCTATCTCCGCCAACAACGTCGTTACATCAGTCACAACACAGCCTAGTCTCACCACCAATGCTGATACTACATCGGTCACAACACAACCCATTCCCACCACCAACGCTGATACAACATCAGTTACAACAGAATCTATTCTTACCACCAATACGGTTACACCACAGCCTATTTCCACCACCAACCCTATTACAACACAACCTGTTGTTACAACTAGTGTTTTTACAACACCATTCACAACACAGTCTGACCTTACAACGAACGATGTCACAACAGCTCTCACAGACAATCCTACAATAACGCGCGCAGTTACATCCAGTGCGATACAGCCTTTGTTAACAACGGACGCTGGTATAACATCGGTCACAACACCTGTATTTTTAACTGGTACTCACGCTGACATCACGACTGACGTCATCACTACCACAGATGACGTGCTGATAGGTGTGACGTCACACAAGCCCCCCGCTAGCGCTAGTACTTTGTCCATCATTGCAACTTCAACCCCGGGCATGTCAAATGCTCCTCTTATCACACCTGAAGACGACGTGACCATACCCACGGAGCTACAACCTACTGGACCAGTACTTTCTAGCACGCCCGGTGCTATCCCACCTACTACGCTTCCAAACGCGCCCGACAGAACACAGCTTGTTAACATAGTCGGGCTTGTTATTGGTGCAACTTTAGGGGCCTTGGTTATCGTACTGGGATCTGTGAGCATCGTCTACCAACGCCAGAGGAAGAAACACAGGTGCGAGATCTAACATATCATGCCATGGGTTAACGTAAGCACCCGATCGCATACGTCGTAGGATCGTCGTACAATATTAATCGCACCCTGGAGACATTGTTCTGACAGCCGTGCATGTGTCCCGCAAAATGAAGCTGACTTGTTCAGGCTGTATAACGTCCTTGTCGGTGGCTGGTTCTGTCACAACCCGTTAGAACATTTTGCAGCATAGAAACCGTACGACGACCTACGACGAATGTGGCTGTGCCGTAACTAATGCATACCTCAGCTTGGAGTTTAGTTTTCCCCCTGTTTGATTTTGTTATACCCCAATTAAAAACGGGCGATGTTTATATATTTCAAGGGTTGTCGATAATACAAAATGTAATTTTCAAACTCTATAAACATCTATTGATGTATTTGCTTTCAATTGTAGCGCCCAAATCACCTCTACCCTGGAGTTGAAGGACCACTTGTACAACGGCACTCCTGACTGCACCATCACAGTTGTGGAGATGAAGCCTTTATCACTGGCCAAGTTCACAAGGATCCCACCTGACCTGCCTATCTGAAATGAACATTTCTGTGGTTATGTCGTTACCTGACTGTAACGGGGTTTTGTTTTTGGTGTATCTGTTTGTGTGTTTGCTTGTGCTTCCATTGTTTGTTATTTCCAAATACTAGGCACGTTGGGGACACTGGCAAGCAGGATGTTAGGCTGTGTAGTCGCAGGAAACCTGGATATTCTAGAATAAGACGATGCTTTTCCACATGTATTATCACCGGTACGTCTGATGTAGAACTAGCAAGCCTTGAATGCAGTATTAATCAAATACTAGTATCACAAAAATGAAAATATTCTATTTTATTTTATTTTAATGTTACGACAGCTGGCAGCTTTCCTACATGAATCGATGTTCATAGTGTTACACACATGTTTGGCCACAACACCTGGTGTACCTAGAGGGTGTGGTTGAAACGCATTGATTAAAAGAGACCAATGTTCGCCATGACACGTGCAACTGCGCCACCATGCGATGTCTACTTTTAAAACATTTACAGGTTTCCCATGGATATCACGTGGTAAAACGTTTGCTTGTGCTATAAATACAAATCAATCAGACGTTCTGTTATGCAACAATGTGTTGATTCCTATGTACGTATAGCAGAACGAAATCCGATAAAGAGGTCTTTTTAGGGAAAAAACTAGTCATTTCTGCTTTTCCTTTCTGTCGGCATTCCTATTTTTATCGTGAAATGATGATTCTGATTTCTATATATGATTAAAGTATGTCAAAAGTGTGTTTTTTCCGATATTCCGATTTGAAAGATCACCGCGCTTCGACATCCCAGGTTATAGACATGGAACTGTATTCATTTGGAGCGCGTCCTTTCGACAACCGTTAGAAATGTAGCTCTAGCCTACTACGTGTAAACATGCGGTCTTTGACATTTTATGACTCAAAATATGCGTATGCCCAGTATGCGGACGTACCTGTGCTTCAGCATTTGGGCTGCGATCACACCTAAGACGCCATTGACGTCATCATCGCTTCGCGATGGACATCCAAGATACGTTATTCTTACCGTCCACCATCCAAATAAACATGTGCTCGTTTTTACATTAGTCATGTTATTAAAAATCCTGATTCAATGTCAAAGACAAGTAAAATCCATCCCATGTCCCAGGTACAATGTATTTAAAAACTGAGTAGATATGAGTCCGCCACGTTAGATTGACAAGGTTATTCATTGACTAGCTGACTACCAAATGGTATTTGGCAAATGGAAAAAGCTAGTCTAAAAGCGATAACGAGCAAACAATAGTGTTTGAACTGTTTTGTAGCCATAACCAGCTTCCCTCCGTACAATACATTACTATCTGTTTTCACGTTCTCCCATCGAATAAACACCCTAAAGTGGACTAAAACACCCAGACCCGGATACAATTGTGACAAATGTGTCCACAGTAATGATATGTTTAAATGTCCACGAACTTATAACTAATTTCAAGTTTGTGCAGGATGCGGGAAAACAAGTTCGAAGTGCAGGAAACAATCAATACCATTCTGGATAGGGTTTTGAGGGAACCTTGATTTGGAAGAACGAGCTATAGTATAGATTTAGATTTTAAAGAAGACCACCTCTGTGAAATCAATGACCACTTGTGAAGTAAGTGTGAGAGCGTTCTCTATGTTTCACACAAGTCTTTTGCTGCACACATGGCTTTAGCTGCCCAAAGTCACTAGGGGCCTTAATCGAATGCTATACTTTGAATAGGTTTGGATCTTATATATTGAGAAGCAATTAGACTTCAACATGTCTGCTGTCCTAGGACGTAGTTGATTCCTTTATTCCCGACGTAAAATTAGATTTCCCTAACCAATGAGCTCTAAGCCCCCTTGCCCTATCAGACAGTCACATCTGTCGTAGGTCGTCATACGTCGTAGAATTTTGACAAAACCAAGGAGGATCTGAGGTAAGCTTTTCCTGACAAGAATTTTGAGATACTGAGGACAGATGAACGACTATACTAAGAATGCCCCCAGTTAGTGAGCGCACGACGATCGTAGGACGTATGTGACCGGGCCCTTAAAGTAAGGCCACTCCACGGCTGGCAACCTTGAGACAAATACGCCGATGTGTCTTGTCCATCCAGCTTCAGAACAAATGGCAGTTATTTCTTACTTTTATCTTTTGGTGCTTACTAAATATTATACCATTCTTACAACAAGAAAAGATGCATGGGAAGAGTTTTAGAATATGATTTTGTGATTTGGGGTGAGAGATGATAACCCCCCCCCCAGGAATTCACCCGAAAGGTTGATAGGTGCAGGTGTTACAAGTACAAACGATATCAGATGTGCACACATAACGTTTGCGTCCATCGGACATAGTAATGCACATAAACATTGAGGTAGCTATGGTAACGGTGATGTTTTTTTAAACAAACTCGTATCCATGGGATATTCTATATAAAGGTAAGCTGAGTACGCGAGGTCAGAAGGAAGTAGACAGGACGTTGGCGATCGCTGCAGTAAGCACTGTGGCAATATTCTAGAAAGCGATGCAGTCGAGAACAACAGTTGCGTTCTTACTGTGTCTGTGCTCCGTCATACATGATGTTCGAGGAGCTCAAAACACTACAGGTAAGTCTGTTTCGGTGTCTTTTCACATGTCGTAAAGAGAATTGAAGTCAAGATTATTTAGGAAGATAAGACAGGTATATCATTACTCAACACCCAACATTCTGTAAGTAAAAAGCAGCACGGTGGATATTGATATATACACAAAAGTACGGAGTTCATTCTTCCCGTAGGAATAAAAAACTTAAGAATTAATTCTCATTTCTCACTGTAGTCAACAGGATAACGTTTTTTTCTGTATGAATGTACTAAATAATCAGGTCTTACCAATTCTACCAATATGCACAGTCAGTACTGTCTCGATACCGAGCCCCACATCGACAAATACAACTACATCGTCACCTGCAGGGACAACTACATCGACACCGCCACTGACACATACAGTAGTGGCAGTAACAGCGACACCGGCACCCTCAGCGATACCGGCACCCTCAGCGATACCGGCACCCTCAGCGGCACCGGCACCCTCAGCGACACCAACTCCGGCAGCGACACCAACACCGACACCGGCACTGACTCCGACACTGACAGTGACACCGACACCGGCTGCAGGGACACCAAACCCAACCTTAAATGCAGCACGTGAGCAAAAAATGCACTGATCTCAGGTCTTCTAAACGTTTAGCGTTTGTCACCCATTCTTCGATTTTCGTCATAACAGATATACACATGTATCATTATTGTATGGTAGACATTGTCGTACTTGAAGTACGTATTGCCATTGCCTATAAATATAGATATCGGACAGTGAAACTACCCTCGAACCCAGTCTAAATTAGTACCGATCTTCCATTGAATGTAAAACTTTGCTACTTTAATCTGAGCCCACGCTTTTTTTGCAGGGAGGCTGTGTTCGACATAGATTTGTATGAACTAACACCAGACATGGCTTGAGATGTTTTCTCCAATATGTGTTTTCATCTAATTATAAACGTTAACAGTGTACTAACTTTCAGCTGTTTTATGTATTCATTTCGTTGGTCTGTTCTATTCTACAGCGACTACAGCCTGTGCTGGGAAGAACTGCACGTACAACAACGGTTCGTCATGTACAGAGGGTGACGCTAACTGTACATGTGTCTGTGTACCGACGGAACCAGAGCCATCAGGCCTTTCTACTGGAGCAATCATCGGTAAGTAACATTTTAGAGCCACATGATATGTACATGATATAATAAGTGTACACTTGTCTTCGAAATGCCTGTTGCCAAGATAAATTTTCGATCACTCAGTTGATAAAAGGGATTCACAATTTAATTAAAGACATCTTCCATAAGCTTTGCCTGTGAATGATCAGAATTGTTGAAGTTTGAAGTCACCGTGAAGATAATACTTTTGCTTATACTAAACCTATTGAAAGGTCGTTCACATTATGTTGCTCATAAAATGATTTGAACAAAGAGCATTTTTTTACATCTTTGATAGCGCGTAATGTTCTCCGTGGCATGCAACATGCATGTCCATACTAATCATGTGGACATCTCAATCCACAGGTATAGCGGTCGGGGGCGCAGTCGCAGTCATACTGATAGTGGTCATCATTACCGTCTGCTGCTGCAAGAAAAAGAAGAACAGGTAAAGTTTACTTTTATCACAGTTACGGTAAAGTTATGTTTTGAAATCAAAGCTCCATTTGAAATACAAAATCTCTTGTAATAATGCCTTATTGAGAAAGCTAATCATAATTAGCAAATAATAAATGCATAATTGCTACATGCATTTCCATTCATTTTACTTCCCCAAATCAAATAAAATCAAATTAGATCAATATGAACAACAACTAAGGGGGACGTATAATTGTATCATTGCCTACACCTCTATTGGTCTGTCAAAGTAAAAAAATGTAGATATTCTTTTGTACTTGACGTTACCACATTCACAAGTGATACTGATTAAGCTTTTGTGTTTTCTTCTCCAGACAAGTGTCTGCTAGTCAACCTGGATCCCGGGCTAAAGTCAACGAAACAGAAATGGAAGATGCATAGTAGATATGTTCGTTAAAAAGTACCAAACCAATAGCCTTCTGCAGTTGCTTTGAGCATTAAAAAAACCCTGAAATCAACACTCCGGGAAGAAAAAAGAAGAGCGAATTTCTTTAAAAAAAAAAAAGAAATTGTGAGAATAAGGCGTTTTGACAACTTTCCCAAAATTGGTACAAGTTTATACCGTACAGGTTTGGTTAACGTTTTGGACTTAACAAATGTTGAAATTGCGCATTGCAGACAGCTACTTTTGATGACAGATGTAACTGTATGGTGTCATTAAAAAAAACTATGATACGTTCCTTCAATACTTCAGTCAAACACATACAGAGCCTCTCTGTGAGCGACGAGGAAATTATTTTCCAAAGACTTGTTCATCAGTTGAGACAATGGAATTCATGTGGCTGAGATAATGGAATTCATGTGGGATAGATTCGTTCACTGGTTTGTGATGAAGGATACATTTGTAAATATGGCAATGAAGACATCGGGTTTGTGTTACATAACGGCGCGGTCACATTTGTCGCATGTCGTCGTACGGTTTTTATGTCAACCACCGACAACGACCTAAGACAGACGTTTCCGTGACAAGACAACTGTATTTTGCAGGACACATAGATGACAAGACAAAGATTCAGATTGCGATCGTACGACGATCGCACAATGAGATCAGTACCTAAGTTGATACTCATGTCTGAGGTCCCTTGTCAAAGAAAGTATCCGACGGAAACATGTTAGACGATTTGTCCACTGCATTATTTCAGCACATGACTGTTACAAACGATGAACTGACATTGCCGTGACGAGGGCATGTGAAACGCAAGGCCCTAAGACTCACAAGTATGCACTAGTCAAATGTCGCATTGGGGTCGTACCTTATATTTACGTGTCAGTATCGAACCCATTCGTTTACAAAAAGGTAGACTCTACATCCAGTTTCCTGAGGGACGGGGCCGCCATATTGGTAATTTTAATGACTGGCGCAGAGTATGACGGTATAGGGCAGTTCCGAATGACTGTTGTAAAACGAACCACATTCCTGTGCTTCCGAAGCTAGTAGTCATAACTAGTATCGTTGAAGGAAAAGGGCTGTGGTTGGGGAAAACTGAATACCCGACCTCTGCATCACGAGAAGTCACAACGGTCACGGTCCTTTCAAGAAAGATCTATCATATGATGTTGAATATTTCAATATAAGACGCTAATGTGAAGCCAAATGTATGTTATGATGTTTAGGAATCTAATATTGAGCCTTCTTTGCTCTTCCATTTGTAAACCGTTGGCTTGAAGCCACGGTGAGATTTTTTTAACTTCTATTTTTGTATCAATAAACCTTTAAGAACACAACTGGTGTTTTTTTTATTATTGTGTGCTTTAGCATTCATGAGTGTGGACCTCTGCACTAGAAAACAGATAGACAAATTTCGTGACCTTGCCATCCAGATTCAGTTAATAGAATGTACAGGATCATTTCATCACCAGCGTTAGTGCCAGACCGGTAGACTATCACGTTGTACGTCGGCAGAGGTCAGAGATAATAACAGGTGCCCTGATAAAGCTATCGATTTAGCTTCACTTCAGTCGAAAACATGGTCAAAGATGACAGCTAAAATCGCTTTGAAGTCACGGTTTCTAATTCAAAGGGCAGGTGGACCATTGTCTAAACAAACTATATGTTCCTCCCATTGACGGCATTGGGACGATCTATAGCTAAAAATATAAAGTATCCTGACAGTAATGTAGCAAATAACCGAATGCGAATTAGGTCGTCAAGGAGATGGTGTACATTGAAATTGGTTCTTCAGTATTTGTAACGATGTTTCCTTATTTACACTTCTGGTCATTTTTTTTTTGCCGGATTGCATAATATGATTTTGAAAAATATTACCCTAATTTGAATATATGACTTGTTACAGCTTTGTTGAATTGTCGGGTACCGACATTTATCACAACTAGCCTGGTTACCAGACCTACTATAGCTCCCGAGTCCTACATACTATTTGCGGAGAGGATGTAGGACTCGGGAGCTATGATAGGTCTGGTAACCAGGCTAAGTCACAACAGCCATCGCTTTAAGCTTCAAGTACTTTGTTTGTACGTATCAAGCTTTCAAATACTGTTGGATCTATAACGTCACATGGCAACAGCGATAACGCTATCAGCTTCCTCCGACACTTGTGGTGAACTCTGTATGGCGGCAGTCAACACCGGCGTTTTAAACGCTGCGGGGGAGAGATGTGGGTAAATATTGACCGTAATATGTCAGGTATCGACGCGAATCGTACGTAATGACGCCGTCACATTCGTCGTAAGTCGTAAGATTTCCAAGCAGGCTGTGACAGAACCAACGGCTGACAAGTATTGCCGACAGTCTTTCCGGTAACAAGACTTGGTGTCACAGTTCTGTACGACGGCTATCCCATGACTCAAGAATGCTCTCATTTTCCGACGAATGTGACCAAGCCCCCAGACACAGACATCTGTTTGATACAGACTTCTGAAATGGAATGCATATGAAGACATGACTTTATGAATGTGAAGATTTGATTACTCATTTCGTTTGATTTGTATGATAGTTACTATCATATTGGAATAAGAAATCAACGACCGTAAAAGAAATGCATGGCAACTTCACATGTTCATATGTTATCATACCATACATAATTATCAATTAATACAAAACTCACGCAAAATGACTAAGGCGACACCATGCGAGGGATTCTAGTATTTCACAACCGATTTGATACTCTAGCATTGACTTACATAGATGTGGTTCGATGGAGGAATTCGAATACCAGCACCATCTGAAGACAACGTGATATATTAAGTAAACATAACCACAGATGTAAACAACTTCACGAGTCTTGAATGGAGGATTGGTACAATAAATTGATAAATCAAGACTGCGCGTGCCGAGTTACAAAGGAAAGATGACACGCTGTACATACTTCAATATTCCTGAGAGGCTGAGTGGTGCCATAAAATAACACTTCATGCAAATGTTAACACTACGGATGGCGTAGGCATAGAAAGGATATGAAAATGTTTCCACGGTAATGTGCAAATGTTTTGAAAAACAACGAGGTTACTAAGAGAGAGACTATATAAACCGTTTACGTCGATAGAGGAGTGCAGATGTAGAGGAAACGAACAGCAGAAACGTGTCGTTGAACTTTTAAAAAAAGTTTCCGATCATTAACTAATATGAGGTTGTTTGTAACAATATTTACCGTGCTGTTAAGCTGGGTCTGGCTTTGTGAAGCTCAGACTACGAATGTTGGAACGCCGGTGGGAACAGGTTCTACCCCGGGTGCCACATCAATGGCAGGTAAGTAGCGCCGTTTTGTACAATGCTCAGCGCTATTTAGAAAAGCATTCAAAAGTACGGGGATTTAAACGTTCACGTTGAGGGAAATGAGAGGCACACACAGGAACACAATATGATATGCTTTTCGGTACTTTTGCAAAACATATTTTGATGATTCTGTAACACCTGCATGTTGTAAACAGCCAGTGGCACGACGACAGCTGCCATGGCGACAACTACAGGTGTTGGGACAACAACTGCTGGTGGAACAGCGACAACTGCAGGGGGAACAGCGACAACTGCGGGGGGAACAGCGACAACTGCAGGTGGTATAGCGTCAACTGCAGGTGGAACAGCGACACCTTCAGCTGGAGTGACGACACCTTCAGCTGGCGCGGGGACGACTAGCGTTAGTCCAATCGTTGGCGGAGGGACCACAGATACATCTAACGTTACATCGGTAACGTCTGCAGTAACCAGCAAAGGTACGGAAAAAAACGAAACACGGCTCTTCAGCTGCCTGTTAAGTGTTCAGATGTGTATGTATGTGTGTATGGTACTTTCTATCCTTCCATATCGCAGACTTTTATTATCAATTTAGAGCGTCACATACACGTGTATGGGTTTATCAGATATACTTTTGCTTATCGTTGCGTAAAAGCACTTTTGGAATTCTAGCTACACTACTGTCTCTCGACAAATACGGCATTGCATTTGAATAGCTATTTTGGTCTTAACAATGCATATGCGAACATTTGCCAATTGGGAGAAACATTTAACTGAGCCCACCTTTATTCATAACATATCTTCCTTCTTCTGTCTACAGCGGCACCTACAGTTTGCACAAAGGTATGTCTGGACCTTGAGAACAAGACGTGTACGGAAGGAGACGCAAACTGTACCTGTAACGACACGTGCGGCCCGGAGGTACAGAAGCCGTCCCCGCAGTCGGGCGGTTTGTCCGGGGGACAGATCGCCGGGATCGCCGTCGGTGCCGTGGCCGGAGTCGTGCTGATCGGGGCAGTGGCCGCTGCACTGGTCACGTGTAAGAAGAAGAGAGGAAGGTAACACACTACACAGTCCCATGTCTCCACGCTTTGTATACGTAGTCACCTGTACCTGTATAACACTTAAAAACGACAGTATTTTGCTGATACAAGTTTTAAGAGAAAATACATGACTGCGCTCAGCGTTAACTCACTACTTGAGTGGCGAACATTGAAATTAGTTGTTGTCTTCGTCAGAAGGACTATGAAATTGTCTCGCCGGAGTGTGGGGAACTGCGGATTTTGCGATATAACTCTGGAAGGCGTGATTCGACGTCCATGATTTTTGGCAGGCAGATTACCGCTATTGAGGCCAAAGTCAAGTACAAGTTTCGGCTTCGTGGGGGGTCCGTGCGTCACGTTAGTGCACCTTTTGTGTTTGTGGCTTGTTAGCAAGATAACTCAAGTATTTGTAAAACGTTGACTATAATTCTTGGTGTGGTGCTTACTATTGTTGGGACCAAGGTTAAGTTCGTTACTGAGCTTCGTGGGGGGTTTCGTTGTGACTACAGGGGGCATTTTGTTAATTTTTCTTGTGAGCAGGATAACTTTTGTATGTGTGGATGGAAGTTAATGAAATTTGATAGGCATATTACTGT